GTCCCCGGGCCTGTCCACCCCTGTGGCCCACCGCCACAGGCCCACCTGCGTCCACTTGTCTCCGCTGCTGGGCCTGTATGTCCCTGTCAGCTGCCGCTGGGTCTGTCTGCCTCTGTGGGCGGCCAATGGGCTTGTATGTCTCTGCCAGCTGCCACCTCGGGCCTACCTACCTCTGCTTGTCACTGCTGCCGGGCCCATCCACCTCTGCGAACTGCCACGGGGCCTGTATGTCTCTGCTGGTTGCCGCTGGGCCTGTATGTCCCTGTCGGCCGCTGCCACCGGGCCTTTCCACCTCCGCGAGTCGCCGACCTGCGTCTGCCTGTCTCCTCCGCGTGGCCTGTCCACCTCTGTGGGCCACCGCCAGGCCTAAATGTCTCTGACGGCCGCCGCCGCCACCGGTCCTGTCCAGCTCCATCTGCTTATCTCTGCCACAGGGCCTGTACACCTCTGTCAGCCACCGCTGGGCCTGAATGTCTCCACCAGCTGCCGCTGGGCCTAAATGTCCCTGTCAGCCACTGCCGCTGGACCCATCTACCTCCGCGGGCTGCTGCCACAGGCCTACCTGCGTCTGCTTGTCTCCGCCATCTTGCCTGAGCAAGATTTGTTTTTAAAGACACATCTCACCGACCCCTCCAGGCAGTGAACGACCTGCTCCTCGGTCAGTTGCAGCCGTCTCTCTTACCAGCCACAGCTGCCGCTGTACTTGCTAGTGCCGCTCTGCTCCTGCGTCTTTTCTGGCCTCTCTGTCACACGTTTGTCTGGCATAGTGGCATTGGGTGCTGCGGTGTGTCACACAGTAGACCCTTTTGCCCAAACAGCTTTCATTACAATGAGTCGCTGGTCTAATTAATGGCATCTGGCTTCTGCTATATCACTGACACTTGACCCTCACTGGAGAGCCTGTGGCTATGGTTCCACAGGACCAGCCCCTTCACATGCTCTGGCAGCTCATAGATGGCATAGGAGTTGCGGTGGGTCCGGATCCTGAATCTGGGCCTGGGTGGTAGCTGAGTTGGTCAAAATTGATCTCTACTGCTGCCTGCCACTACCACCACCACTAACGTGGTATCTGGCAACGAAGGGAGCCAGCTCTTCTACACCCATGTCACTGCCTTCACCCCTGGGTGAGAGGCAAGACCAACTCTCCCACACCAATGCCATGAGGGATGGCGTCAACTCACCCATGGCCACACCACAAGAGGAGGGGGCAGTTCTCCAGCCACAGGTGAGGGGTGGGGCCAACTCAGCGTGGTGCTGGGACATGAACATGGCCAAAGAGGGCATCAGAGACCATAGACATCTACATGGCTTTCGGTGGAAACACATCAGCCAAGAGAGGAGTTTTGCAAAACAAGCTGGGATGAGGGAGAACAAAAGAGTGAAAAGGATTACTGATGACAGCATCATGGTAGATGGTAGAATTTAGGCTGGCCAAGGGGAGAAATAAACCTAAGTAGGTGTTGATAGAAAATGGGTGAGAACAAAGGGTGGTTTTATCAATAAGGTTTTCATCACTGCAACGGGCAGTTGTGAGCCACCAAACATGGGTGCTGGGAACTGAACTCAGGCCCCTGCAAGAGCAGTGTGCACTCTTAACCACTGAACCATCTTTCTAGCCCTGAATCTGAAGATTAATAAGAGAAGAGGTGAGTGGACAAGACACACAGAGCAATAGGTAGGTTAGAAAACAAAACATTAGAAATCTAGACTTGGAGGAAATGCTGTCATAGGTAGTGATTGAAAGTCCAACGTTTGCTCCTGATAGCATGAGCAGGACCAGTGAGGAACAAAAGAAAACATGGCTAAATGGGAGACAGTCGGGGAACAGAGAGAGTGAATACTGAAAGGATTATCTTTCTGCAAGCATGCTTATGCTTGATTAGAGGAAGTGGAAAGTTTGTCTAAGTATATCCTTAACACAGGCAACCATCTTCCCAAGACAGAAATGCCTCACTCTGTTAAGAACCCCACACATGATCTATCCCTGTCTTACTTGAACATGTCCTTTATGGCTATGCTTCTTGTGGAGCCTCATGAAATACAGACCTATGAAATGCAATCTGGCCCAACATAAAATGTTTGTAGTACCAGACGCCATCTAAAACTAGTTTAGATAAATGGAGTAGCTAGTATCAAAGGCTTAAGAGAATAAAATGTAAAATGGAGGAAATTCTATCCATTAACTTAATGCTTTCCAAATACTAGGGTGCGTACCCTACATTGCTTATTTTTTGCTTGAGGAAATTATATTTTTGAACCATCCAGCATGGATTTCCAGAGCTGTAAGAGTAAGGAGCAGGGTCAGAGGTTGGTGGGAGATCCTGACCTAGGAAAAGAGAGGACAAAGGTTCCCCACAAAAAGGACTTGGCCAAAGAAAACAGCAACAACAGTGTGGATCCATTTACATTTCTATATAGATTGAATGAGAACATTCGAGAATTGCCCAAGTCTTTTTACCTTGTTTGTTGCTTTTATTACCCAACTTCTTTCTTTCTATCAGCTGATGATTTCAGCATCTCCCAAAGTGGAAGATAAGTATGTGCTTGAGAAACAGTGAGGTAATAAGGAGTCAGAAAGATACATTCTCCTCCCAGGGACAATCAGCAGACACTGGAAAATGATACCAGGGGACTTACGTCAATCATCCCCAGCCAATTTCTATTCTCCTTGGTCCACTCAAATGGCTTATCTGAGTTCAACACCCTGTAACACGAAGCAATTAAAAACAGAAAAGATGCCTTTTATTGTACTTATGTGTGAACAGAAGGAAGAGATAGAAAAAGCATTCGTCCCCAGTCTCCATTTTCTCTTCTAGGCCCAGATCAGGCTTGTAATAGACCTGAGGCAAGAGGGTATAAGAAGTCAGAGGAGAAGCATGAAATACACAGCTCTTGCTCTGCAGGGCCTGGTGTACCACCAACTGGGTCAAGCAATCTGAGGATAAACAGCACCCAAGACTTTTTGTCAAGTCCCTTCCACGAACCCCAGTCACTGTTTACTTCCGAGGATGCGCAATAAACCCAAACATGCTCATGCTGGGTGATACAGGCCATGCAGAACTGTTTTGACCTCAAGTACCCATAGTAGTTGCTTTTCCTGTTACTGTGATGGAACAGCTGATGTAACCTGAGGAAAGGAAGCTTTCTATTGGTTCGCTGTTCTAGAAATGTCAGTCCACCAGGGTGGACAGACTTCAGCAGAGAGCAGCAGCCCGCCACACAGTTTCCAGGAGGCACAAACGGAGGACACAGAGAAGAGATAGAGTGAGATATAGACCCCCCACTCACAATAAAACCCTCCTCCCAGTGATTAGCTTCCTGGAACAAGGCCCTACCTCCTGCCTTTCATCACTTCCCTATAATATCATATTATGAATCCATCAAGGGATTAATGTGTTCATTAGGTCAGAGTTCTCATGCTCTAATCAGTTACGAGCTTTCTTAATCTAGGTGTTTCTCAGTCCAACCAAGTTGACCATCACATTCCCCCAGCATCCTTATTCAAAGTGGACAGTGGGAAAGCCTTCATTCCTGTCTTTGCCCAAAGGAAAGAGTCCCCTGTGGAGAACTCTCAAGGTAAAACCTCTGCCTTGCTCTCCTCACCCCCAAATCAGGAGAATCACAAAACAGTTATGAGAGGTCTAAAAATCATTCTCTCCTCAGAGAAAGAAAACCTCGAGAGTCATGAATACAGACAAAGAGCAAGCTGGATGCTGAATCCTGAGAATCTTTGAGAAAAAAAGGCAAGAGAGTCTGAAACGGCCCTTTCTCATCCATGAGTTCACAATAAAGATGATGATCATTTGTGGAGTTTACCACTGACACTTGAGAAAGTAGTGGGTATGAAGCTTTGGAAAGAATGCCCTCCTCAAACACCATTTTAAAAAAAAATTTAAAAAAAAAAAAAACATTACTTGATCATTTGTGTTTTCTACACGATCCTTAAGGGGAGCCAAGGATGATGCATGTTTAAAAGTGATGAGAAGGGCCGAATCTAGACCAAACTTAATAGATAATATGTAGTATAAATAGGGAAGAAGTTTTTGATTATTGCTATTGATGATCTAGAATCCCCTAGGATAAAAGCCTCCAGGTACACCCATGAAGGGTTGTTTAGTTTAGGTCTGGGCTTGCCTGAGTGTTTATACTGTGTTAATTAAAATGAGAAGGTCCACCCTAATAATAGGCATATTATTCCATTCCCTAGGCTTGGGTCCTAGAGTGCATAAAAAGGGGAAAGGTAGCTGAGTATCCGAATTTCATCATTCTCTGCTTCCTGACAATAGATACAAGTTGACCAGCTGTCCCAAGCTGCTGCTGCCATACCTTTCCCACCATGGTAAACTGTACCCCCAAAATGTGGGCCAAAAGAAGCCCTTACCCCCATAAGTTGCTTTTTCAGGATATTTTACCATAACAACATGAAAAATACCTAAGACAGAGCTGTTGGTTCACTCTATCCATCTGAGCTCAATATCAGCACTGCCAAAGGTAGGTGAAGGGGGTCACTGCCGTCTTTGTAATTTTACTTCTGGGTTCCTGGGTTTGTAGCCCAAGTTTCAGCTTAGGGGTACTCATCCATGATGTTTCCAATGTCTCAGGACAGGCATTAAGAGAAACATGATTGTTTTTCCATAATATGAGAACATTACAGTCCTTTTCTGGTTGTGTGGGCTTGTCTGTATCTGCCTCATTTTCTCTTTAACTCACCAAGATTAAGTTTTAAAATTAGCACTAGGACTCAGTACTATGTATATAACCCTGTATGCTGTGAATGTGTTGCTCTGACTGGTTAATAAATAAAGTGCTGATTGGCCAGTAGCCAGGCAGGAAGTATAGGCGGGACAAAGAGAGAGGAGAATTCTGGGAACAAGAAGGCTGAGTCAGGAGTCGCCAGCCAGACACACAGAGGAAGCAAGATGTGAAAGCAGAACTGGGGAAAGGTACCAAGCCACGTGCTAAACATAAATAAGAATTATGGGTTAGCTTAAATGTAAGAGCTAATGGCCGAACAGTTTAATTAATATAAACCTCTGTGTGTTTACATGGGTCCGAGCGGCTGCGGGACTGGCAGGTGAGAGAGATTTGCCTTGACCACTGGCAGGCTGGGACACAGGAAATCTTCTAGCTACTACTCAAATGCACAACAGAAGTATAAACCAGCATAGACTTTTTAAAGTTACCTCGACAGTGTGTATTTAAAAAGAAAAAAGACCGTGTGTGTGT